TGAGATATTTTCTTCTGTTATGTTTTTGTTCAATATCCAGCTATTGATTCCGACTAAACTTAAAATATTGAAAATCACGTGACGTGGCCACATTCAGGAACATGATTTCACCTTATACTTCCTTGCCATTGGATATGTAACATCAACGTCAAATTAAATTTTATCAAAAAACGATCCAATCGTAGTATAAGTACTTTTCCCTTGGGACGAATAACATCAAAATATTATAGAAAATTTATTTATTTTTTTCTTGCATGAAATAAAGGCTCCTCACAAAAGCCATAAGCAGTTAAAAATATCAAGATGCAAAACCACAAATTGGAGTAGGAGATTAGCCGAAAACGCATCCTAATATATATATATATATATATATATATATATGCTGCCACACTATGCCATGCTGTTTTTTCAGTTTGCAAGTTTTCGGCTGTTCCGTCTTGTTTGAGCGCATTGTTCCGAGCAATGAAATGTTTTTAGATCTTAATTTCAATGAATACTTGTAACTCTTGTTGTTGTTGTTGTTGTCGTAACCGCAAAAATATTCCCCAAAGTACTCTTTGGGGAATGTTGCGGGAGTGACAGTCCTTGACCCGGGTTGTTCCGGTATAAAGACCCGACTGTCGCAGGAACTATTGGATTTTAGTCGCTTCTTACGACAGGCATTCCTTACCGCGGGTAAATTTTAGAACCCCTAACCCGCAGGGCGGCAATTCTAGTCTTCATGGTATACGGTTCAATAAGTTTCATTGTAAGGGTCTGATGCATTTCGAGTCTCGACTATAGTATAGTAAATTTATGGGGTTTGTTTGGCATATACTGAGTAAGCTCATGGAAAAATTTGTTAAATTTTGTCTATTTTCAATAAATTTATCACAACCTGCTGGGATTACAGCGAACTTGTCTGTTTTGGAACCGTTGACTCCTCTGATTTCTTTTGTCGAAACGAATGTTGTATCGCTGAATCTCAGTAAGATCTCGTTTACTCATGGTGCTGAAGAAAAATGATGCTTCCCAGTTGCTGTTCCGCAAATATTGAAGCCTCAAGGTATATCCTTCGTACACCCCACTTGCGTACAATTTTGCAAGAAATTCCTACAATTTTCTTTGCCTAATTGCCCAGTTTTTCCCCAAAACTAGGGAGACTTTTAACTCTGTACAAATTCTGGTAAAGATGAATAATTACCCTTGAACATCGCTTGGACTAAGATTTTATTATTGGTATTGAGCGAAGCTCAAGACTATATTGTTCTGCTTCGTTCGCAAAAATACGATACCGTTATCACCAAAATGCCGATAATAGGATGCACTGATCTCATAATTCTCCTGGAACAAACATTTCCTCATAAAAACTACACCATTATTTTTGCCTTTAACAAAAAATATATTTCTTCCTATTACACATACATACATACATAAATACATATAATAACATTAAATTCAGAAATTCTATTCTCTACTTCGGCATACAATTGTTACAAGCAAATGTAATCTTGAATTGAAATTGTAAGACCAGTCAAAATTTAGTGTTAAGTTAGAACAGAATTGCGCTCTCGTTAAGAAATAGTATAGCAAATCAGATCAAGCCGTAGAAGAAATCGAATGGCATATTTTGTTCTAATTTCAAAAAATGGTCATTTATTGCTTGCTAATGAAACAAAAGGGCAACTTAATAAAATAAATAAAATTGACGTCAAGCACAATTTTTTGAGAGAAAGCATTAGCAGCTCAATAAACATTCGTACGAAAAGAAAAATAACAGAAATTCCCAGTAGTCTAGTTATATGTATGTATAGAGTGAATAATAATATAAGTGAAAGCTAGAAAAAAATAAAAGAAAACACGGTTCGCGAATATGGGAATCACTTGCCGGATATATGTACGATGTTTCTAAATGAGGTAAAAAAACACTAAGATTTGATCGCCAATAAAACTGAAATTATTTTTAAGCACATTCTACAATATAAAGCTGTGAGGAATCTTTTAAAAAATGTCGACTCTTGCAAATTGTTGAATTTTCTTATCAAAATGCGTGCTCTGTTAAGACAGTTCATCGTGCGTCAGAGAAGCCCGCTTCAATTGACGCATTGGAGGACAACATTCGCTAAAATTGAACTAAGCGGATGGACCATTTGAGGCGCAGTCACGGTCAACATTTGCCTGAACTAATCTTCGAACTTTAAATTAATGGACTGTACTATAGATTCAAATTAAGATTTCATGCATTTTTCTGAATTTTATGCGTTCTCTTTGAAAGTTTTCGTATAGCTCTTAAAAAATCAGCCTTTATTACTCGAATCTAATCAGAATTCTCAGTTTAGAATATTAGCATCACTTTGCGTTCTATAATGGTGGAGAATTGATCGAATAACAATATTGACAAAAATAATACTTGCTGAAGCTTCAAAGGATGTCATTTAAAATGGAAAGGCCGTTTTTCAATTGCGGTAGTCATTCTTCAGGGGCAACGCGTTGATATTCATAAAACCTACTACAAAACTGGTGCCTTAAACGTGGCCTCGTGTCGTGTTTTAAGCGATGATTATGGCGCACAGAATCGTCCAACTACACAAGAAAAATTATAAAAGCTTGGAGAGATTTGGCCATTTACAGATATTGTAAGGCTTGTACATCATCGCTTTCGTTTTTCCACCTCATTGTATATCGGTACTGTACGTTTAAATGTCCCCGAAGATTCGATTGATCGTGTTTATGTGTATAAACCTTTAACTCTTGAGCACTTAAAAAACAATATTCGTTAAGTTATGGCTGAGATGTATATAATAGGGGCTTTTTAACCGCTGAAGCGATTTTCGGCCGAGTTTCTCCTCCAATTTGTGGTTTTGCGCCTTGATGTTTTTCCAACAAAAGAAGGGACCTACAGTTTATACTAAGCCGCATCCGAAGGGCCAACGGTTTTTTAAGAAGAGCTTTATTTTATGTCAGAAGTGCACTCGGAGGGGTTGACATTCTCTGCCGAGGGGCGACCACAATTAGAAAATTAAGCTCAATTTTTTATATCAATTAATTTTCTACCTTTTTTGGATATTGGTCTCACGGGGACGCACAAAATGTTCTAAAAAAGTGGTCGAAAATTACTTTAAACTATTTCAGCAAGATAATTTTATTGTTCGTCAATTTTAAGCAATGTATTTGTCTACTTCAATCATCTTTTATAATAATTTTCGCAATTAAATATTTGACGAAAAATGCATTATTTTATAAATTGGAATATGAAACATTATTTTGCTTTAATAAATAAACGCCAAATATTTTTTTTACATAATTTGTATAAGTAAATCCTAAAATTTTTGTATTATTTTGACATTCGACAAATGAAACAGTATTAAAGCCATTTTTAAAAAGAACTCTTAATCGAAAAACATAAATTCACCTTAATATACCGTAAACAGATTTTTTCGGATTTGATAGTGGAAAAGATAAAACTAATGTGTCGGAAATATTTACAGGATTTTCAAATTCCAATAATAATTAAATTGCCACTGAAATGATATGGAATATGTTTTTTTTTTATATATACACTATTATTATTATTATTATTATTGTTATTAATTAGACTTGAAGTTGATGAAAATTAATCAAAATGAGAAAAACACTCAGCATTAAAATTATTTCAAACTAATATTTAAAAATACTGAACCTTTGAGATTTGTATCATAATTATGTATGTATGTACATATGTATGTCATAACTCTTAAATATACATAAAGACAAGAATAGATGAGTGCAAGGAATTTTAATTTTATATTTAGTTATATTTATATACAACATTCATAAATTCTGACTAGATTAATAAGCTTCAATTATTGCGTGCTTAATATAGATATAGTACAATATAATTCTTAACCCCAACTAAATATTCAATTATTTAGTTCTTCCAACTCTTGGCATTGACCGTACAATGAATGTACGAAAAAGGCATTGACATCAATTTGGACGAGGTCAACGCTGAGCCAAGTGGGTATGGACATGAAAAATAAGAGACAGGTGCCCGAAATTATTTTATTTGTGTATTCGCGAGTGATTTGAATACTAAATCTTATGAAAAATATTTGAAATAAGAAACTGCGTTGGTTTAGATTAATATGACGAGTTTAATTTGAAATAAATAAAAATTAGAGAAAAGCATTGTTTTTTTGTATATTTGTATACACATATTTATTTTTATGAATTTTTCTAGCTGAAATTAAAATACACTTCAATTTTTACTTACTTTGTGTTGTTGTTGTGCTTGTTATTAACGGATCGCTGCGTATACGTGTATGAATATTTGTGCGATTTCTAAACATTATATGCCTGTAGACACAAAAATACAAATTGACGTCTCCTTTTTCGACAACACACAGTCTTGTCGAAATTTTTATGAGGATATTTTGTTTTTTAATTTTTCGTTCTGTATCTGTCCTATGTATTGTATGACTGTTTATCTGCTATTATTTTTGTGGTGTTTTTGTTTGCTTAAATCACCTTCTCAGGAACTTTTTTACTTTGAGATTTTTTTTTTTTGTTTTTTTTAGCCAAATTTCACTTTTTTAGGTAAACGCGTAATTGAAGATCACAAGTTGCACATCACTAATAATTAAAAAATATATATATGTTATATATAAATTTTTGTGTTTGTTATTTCTTTGCTTGCATGTTAGCATATACAATTTTTAATAAATATTTTTTTGTGTAAAATTTTTTTTATTTTTATTTTTACTTTTTATTTATTTAAGCTTAATTATTATTTTTTCTAATAGCATCGCCACAGAATATTATAATATTTTTATATTATTTTATTTATTGACTTTTTCGGTGGTGCTGTGGTGCGCATTTCGCACTGTTTCGGTGTGAGCTCAACATCGCTCTAGTCACGGTGCTCGCATTTGCGGAGCTTTAGAGTCTTCTGGTCGTCTACCGACGAATTTTCATTACACTGTTATATTGCTACCGCTGCTTGTTTTTAATATTGTTGTTGTTATTGTTATTGTTATTGTTACCTTTTGCTAGAGCCTTGTAGTTTTGTTTAAATCTATGCTCGATTTCAGGGTATTTGGTTGTTTGCTGCTGCTGATGATATCGGTGATGTTGGGATTTTTTTCTTGTTTATGTTTGTTGCGATTAACACTGCAAATAACTAGTTTTTTTTAAATTTTTCTTTGTTTGCCCACGACTTAGCCCACAATAACCGCGGCGGCGGCGGTGACTATCTTCAGCAAACGTCCAGCAACAGCTAGCCACAGAGCGCGAGTGATTGTCGTCGTTTCGTGTGCAGTTGTGGTGGTTGAGGCGGCTTAGAGTCCCACTGCCCGCCTATTCTGCTCGGTATGAACGAGTGTGTATGCAATTAAAAAGTAACAATCTGCAACTTTGTTTGCCAACGAATTCCTTGTTGTGGTTTCTTGGCGCTGCTGTCAATGTTTGGGCTATTTTTAGCCTGATCTGTGCTATAGTTAGACGCGATGTTTGAGCATACACTATGTATACGTACATACATATATACATACACATACATACGTGTATATGCCGAAAGTGGGTTCGACTACTGGATGGATAACAAGACTGCGAGGCGATGAATAGTAATTCAGCTCTCAGCTGCTGCTGCTGCTGCTTCTGCCGTCGCTGTTGTAGTTTGTTAGTTGTTGTTAATTGCTGTTATTTACTTGTATATACACTTTTGTTGTTGCAGCTGGTTTTCAAATTTGATATATTACCAACTCTGCGCGCGAAGGCTAAAACACTTGTAATTTATTTCGATTCCACATTAAGCATGCGTAACGAGATGTTTGACGCCACAACGCGTGTACAATGTTATTTGGTTTTTTACTTTGATGTGGCTAATTTAATAAAATGTGTGTGTGCACGTCTACTAAACACTTTTATATGGATTAATGTTTCTAAAATTGTAAATATTCACTTTATTGTTAAGATATTTAAAAAAAAAATTTTTATTTTCAAAATGAGTTTTTTTTTCTGATTATTACGGTTGTACATATTATATAAGCTTTATTTGAGTTTTTTATTTTCATTGAAACTAAATTAACACAAATTAATTCTTGCGCAGCGCGTGTTGCTCGCCGTTTCACAGCCAATTTGCAAAAGAGCCTCCTAAGAACTGAGTAGCCGGCCAGAGCTTCGTCACTGCTGTTGATTCGTTGTCGTTGGCTAATTATCGTTTTGAAACACAATACATTACAATACAATATAATAAAAGCGGCAACCACAATTATGATAACAGTCACACTTGTATTTTCGTATAGTATTTTTCTTTTTTTCTATTTTTCTATTCATGTATTTATATATTTATGCTATTTATGTATGAAACAGCTAATGGGCAGCGTGACGGTTAATTTTTCTTAATATTTCTACTTCGCTATCAGTAGCGTGTTGTTGATTGTTTATGCTGCTCCGCGGTTAAACACAGGTTGAGATAAGTATTGAACGGAGTATTCGGTGTTTGTTTTGTTGTTTCGGCTTTGCGCGTGTCTCGGCAGATTATGCATAATGTTTCAATTTCGGTGCCAGAACACCGCTATTTTTCGATTCTTCCCAGTTTGCGATTCCATTGTATATTACCCGGTCCATATCTTTTCTTGAAACATTTAATATAAGCCCCTCCAAGGCACTACAAGCAAGCGGAGCATAAATTTTGATAATAAAGTTCAATTGTTTGCAAACGTTGTTCGCTTCTAAGTTCGTTCTTTATTATCACTGCCATCCATATCCAAATCTGATGATCATACGATTATCGTTACTGAAATTCACCAATTCCAGTACTCTAATTATCTTTCTGGATTTCTGTATATTTTCTTCTGATAGCTTCATATTTTCTTGCCTATCAATAAAAATGAAAAGACTAAGGGCCGTTTTTTCGAGTGCCTGTTAAAATTTAACTTCTCGACTCGCTTTTACAACTACCTGTTTTACTTTGAGCTTTTTAAATTTAACAGGCGGTGAAAGCACTGTTTAACAGCTTTTTTCGACAGCGACATCTTTTCTGTTTGCTTGAGGTAAGGTTTGAAGAAGCCTGTGAGCGCGATATTGCTAAGAGGTTTTTTTTTTACTTTATTTATGTTTAAAGCAACTGATTTACGTTGTTCCTTTCTTATAAATATTAAAAAATGATTAAACATGAGGTCGAGAAAATGAAAACGAATTTATGATATCGTTAAATTTAACTGCCTGTTTCGCAATTCTCACATTAACAGTTGATGTTTTCTTCGGGTATAAAACTAAAATGTGTTTTCCTCCATGTCCAAGCGAATTGGTGCTCAAACATTTTACAGCCATTTTAAAATATTCCAGTAAAGCGCTGGTCCAAAAAGTATTTTCACCTTCATTCTAGAATCCTTGGTATCGTGTTTCGATGTCGATGGTCTTTGTATTCGTTGCTCGTAACGCCCTAGCTTTTGTGGAAAGAGTGTAGCTGCGCATGCAGGAAATGTATTTTTAGAGACATTCTAGCTCAACTTTTTTGACAACTTTCCAACAATTGCATATTTCTTTTGCGTTATTTTTCTTGCATAACATCTATCAAATAAAAGTAGAATCATCTACATACTTTGGTTCCCTACATAGTGCTGGCAATGAATAGTTCATTCAATGACCACTTGTACAGCCACGACTTATGAGTGTCTACTACAGCGCAACCAAAGTAATGAGATACACATTTAGCGCATTTTATTTTACCCTCTTTTTTGAGCATAAAATACAACAACAACAACAAATGCAAGAAATCCACTTTGAATCGATCTTGGATTTTCCTTATCTCTTCATCACAATTAACTCGTTTAAGATCAAATAAAATGACTTGCCAATCTAGACGTGCCCTTCCTTGCTTAACATCGTTATGACACCACAAGGGACACAATTTAGCATATCAAATATTGTGAAGAATCGTTATAATCTGCTAGGAAGAAATGAACTTGAATTTTTATATTTGTATTTTGCTGTAATTTTCTTGCAGAAGTCTCCAAACCTCCAACTTTTGGACGGTATTTTAAAATAAATAATTTAATATTCAAACTGAAACCTTAAAATACACTTTCTAGAGAGCTTTTTCTGATGAACTAGCTTCAAAGAAAAATACCCTCTTTTCTAAGTCTTTGAGTTTCTGAGCTCGTCTTCAAAATTTATATTTTTTTGAGTACTGACCAAGGCATATTTAACAAGGTGAAGTTACTGCGGCAGTGGCTTTCGCTTTTTTTTATTAAATTTTAGTTTTTGTTTTGCTTGCTTGAATTTTCGCATTTGTTTTTTTGATTTTGTAATTCAGTTTTGTGCAAAAAAAAAAAATAAAGTGGAGAGTTTGCTGGGTTCTTAAGACAATCTGCTGTTTGATTTTGTGTTGCTATATACAGATGTATATATATATATAATTGGCGCAGAGCGATTTTCGGCCGAGCTCCTCCTCCAATTTCCAGTTTTCTGTCTTAATTTTATTTCAACAAATGGAAGGACCCACAGAATATTCTACGCCGCCTCCGAACGGCTCATGATTTCTTTATGAAGAGCTTTATATAATATCATGTCAGAAATACACTCGGAGGGGTTGACATTCCCTGCCGAGAGTCGACCGCAATTACAAAATTTAACTTAATTTTTTAATTAAATTAATAAAATTAGTGATTTTGTGTTATTAGTTCTATAAAAAAACCAAAATGTGCAGGCATATTTTACGTCAAGAGTTCATTGAAAATTAAGAAAAATATGCAAAGAGGCGTATGTTAAGTTTGCAAGAAAAAATGATCCATTTAATTTGAAAGAAAGCGTCTTCATTCACCTTTTTTTGTCGTCCTGGCATATTTTCCATAATTAGTTTTAATTATTTACTTATGACTTAATAAACAAATAAACAAAACTTATTTATTTTGCTGCGCTTCTTCTCCCACTTCGATGTGAATATTCTTATTTATACTTTACCAACAGGCAAATGTAATTTGACATGGACGAAAAAAGTAGTGCTGCCAATTTTTTTCAAACAATGTAACCTTTGTGCTAGAATATCAAATTCAATTTCGCGTAAAAAAAGTAAAAACAAAATTTAATTTAACGGTAACGGTGAGAATAGGCCTGTAAATGACAAAAATAAATTTTAGTTAATTTTTTTTCAACACTTATTTTATTTTGTGCGAAACTATTTTAACAAACATATAGAGGAATCTGTTCAAGCTCAAACGCATTCAGATGACCAAAATACTTGAAATCCTTTTCATCATTCCAATAAGTAAATCCTTGAGCAATAATGCCTCCCATGTAACTCTTTTAATGAGAAATTGCTTCACACAGTATCGGCTGTTTTAGATTTTCTATTTATGTTTTCTAACTTTACCTCACTCACTTTACCTGACAACGATTCGTCTGCCTATGTGGGTGCAAGGTAAGTGGCTGTGGTACAAGAACAAAATATCAGGATGTGCTGTTAATGCAATAAATTCAAATTCGAGATTCTTCACAATGAAAAAAGTGGAATACAATATGAAAAAAAGTGTTGAGCAAAAAATAGACGAGATATTATGAAAAGCCGTCTTAAGGCAGTTTTGGGAATTAGTGGTTTAATTAATGACCTCAGATTAGATTATTTAGATTATTTACTCACGTCAGCTGGGTTTACTAGACATTCATAATAAAATACATTTGACTCTAATACATACATGTGTATATATTTAAATTCCGCAAACTTTTAACCTGCTGCAGTTTTCAGAAAACTAGCGCTAGCAAATTGTACTTGTATACCGGGCCTTTTCGGTACATACATATATTTTGCACGATAACCATTACCGTCAGCCTCATAAATGACAACCACTTGAAACGGTGCATCGTTGTATACCAAGTCCAGATGACCCTTCACAGCTAGAAGTTTATTTCCGTTTTCATCTGTAATCACTTCCGCGTTTTCTTCGCGAAATCCACCCTCAGGCAAATCTAAACTATTGTTGAGGGAAAACCGGATTTAAATCAAATAAAATTTCAATTTTACGAATATTTTTAGCATACCGTAAATGGTAATTATCTCCATTTGGTGTGAGTTTATAGTATTCTTGGTCTATTTTGGGCAGCAAAGCTCCGATACTGGGCACGGCTTGTTGGTTCTGGCCACCAGCGAGAACGCCGAACAGCAGAAATAATGCGATTGTTAAAAGATTCATCTACAAATTAGAAGCAAATTATTTAATATTATACAGTCTATTGATATTAACATATATATGTATGTATCTTAACTAACCGCAAAAATGCCGGAATCTGAGTTGCTGTCCGGACCGTTCGATGCTGCGCGAAACACTGACTCTTCTTTTGGCTAAAACTGGCTTCATTAACGGATGCGAAACCATTGTGTTTGTATAAAAATTCAAACAAACAAACAGAAATCACATTCATACACACCTATAAAACTAATGAGTATTTTATTCGCTGAAAGATTATTAAAATTATGATATTAACAATAGTGAAATACTTGCGAATGTCCATACGTTTTTTTCTTAATAAATATTCATCGCTCATAGTATATTTCGAATAATCAATCATCATCATGTTAAGTGCTTCTAAGATGAGTAAATTTTTGTGAATTCATGGAGTTCCATGAGTATTTTAAATAGTTTTTATGGCTATAAATTATAAATTTGTCTTCTGGTGGGTTAATGCTCTGAACTAAGAAAATATTAAGTTTTTCGTTAGCAGATTTACATATGTACATATATATATGTATGATATATATATATTTTTTAACTATTGCTTATTGGCGTTACCAATTACTCATTCATTAAATGAATAAAAGATTCTTAATATTCAAAAAAAGATTCTCTCAAGATGAAATGTAGCCGCAAAAATATGCAACTGTTATTTGTTGTCTAATTTTTACTGAACCCTGTTCGGTGAAAACTCAGGATATTTCTTTCTTTGGATAAATAAAAATTATCACTCTCTCAATTTCCTTACTGGCTAATTTTTACTGACATTTCTCACCGATTCGATTTTGTTTTGTTGTTGTAACCAAATGATCACAAATCAGCTGCTTATCATAATTTCCAGTTATTACTGTAACAATTTCCACTGCCGATCAGCTCATCGAACAGAACACTCTATGCTCTCTAAATACAATCTGTAAGAGAAGAAAGACAAGATTATTTAATTAACATACACTTTGCCAGAGGGGATAAACTTGGATTAACCGGTAAATTAGTTGAGTCATTATGACCTTTACGAACAGAAAAAAAGCTTAAAAACATGCCAAACCGAATCGATTCGAAAATAGTTGCCAGCGCAAGAGTGTTATGACTGCAGGAACTACACTTAAATTGAAGAATAACTAAATAAATGTATATATATTTTTAATTTTCAACTTTTTTCTAGGTTCTATTAAATTCTATTGCTAATTTGAAAAAACTTACGCCGGCAAGTGATGCCGTTACTACGTCGGGCATATTCGGCACATATATATATTTCGCTCTGAAACCATTTCTATCGGCCTCTTAAATGACAACCATCTTAAAAGGTGCATCTCTAAACACCAAGTCTACCGGACCTTTCACAGCAATGAATTTCTTTCCGTTTGCCTCTGTAATCACCTCTGCGTCTTCTTAGCGAAATCCACCCTCAGGCAAATCTACACTGATGTTGATAGAAAGAACAAGTTTTCAAATTGAAACCAAATTACAAATGCATGAATATGTTTAGCACACCGTAAATGGTAATTATCTCTATTTCCACTTGAAATGAGCTTAAAGGTCTCTTGATTTATGTTGGACAACAAAATACTTTGGTTAGGTGCTGCTTTTTGGATTTGACTGTCAACAAGAACACCGAACAGCAGGCAAATTAGGATGGTCAAAAGATTCATCTACAAGTAAAACAACAAAAATAAAAATATTTACATATAATAACTAAGGTAAAGTTCCGGAACAACCGTTACGGTCTGGACCGTTCGATGCTACACGAGACACTGCCTCTTTTGTTCTTTTTGTTGAAAAACCGGCTTTATTAATTAGCAAAAACTACTGAGTTTGCATAATAATAAAGAAGCATATTATTTTAAAACACACACCTGTAAACTGCGTGAGAATTTTATTAGTTGAAAAAATACTGAAACTATGATATTAAAAAATAATTACAAACCTCTAAACTTGGACAATTATGGTACATGGGTTCGGGTCGTCTTTTAGTCAACAGAATGACAAGAGGGCTTTTTTCAATACTGATTACTCACCCACAGATTAATCAATCATTATGTTAAGTGCTACTAAGTTGAGTCAACTTTAGCTGACGTGCGAAAGGAAAACTCACACAAGTTTTATTTCCACAGTGAAACAAATAAAAAATTATTATATTCTGATTAGAAATTACCAGCCGCAATAAGAATTTGGGAATGCTCAAAGTGCCGAGCCGAAGAGTTTCGAAATCAAACGTCTAAACTCAATAAAATGAATCAGGGGGCTCAGCTTGGTGGTGTCCGATACCCGCTTCTGTTTAATTTTTTCATGTCGCAGCACCCTCCTCCATTACAAGAATTTATCTTGCTGATCTTACTCATTTCTTCACTGCATTCACCAGCTGGACGAAGGTGTAGCGGCTCGAACTTCATGTGAAAATCGATGACAGGAATGTTTCAACAATAAATAATCCCAAGTTACTAGGAGACACATTTGGTAGCTTACAACTGTAATTCCCGCAGATGCAGGAGCTACAAGCATGCCAGAGCACTACTTTGAGGACTCCTGATGTCCTGATGTCGCCTACATATCACTTACCTTTCGGCGTACTTCCTTTTTTACAAGAAATTTAATCACAGCGCGGTGCTCCAAGTTGCGAGAATTTCCAGTTACAGTCGACATAGTGTTGTTGCTTTCTCCAGGAAGGAAATGTGAATGAACCTTTTTGAAAAAGTATTTATATTTATACTAATAAGGAGTACCATAGGTCGCGAACTTATCAGCCGCCCCTCGTATGTGAGTAGTACTAAACTTAAAATTTATCTATTTTCTACACAATTTTTAGAAATCGCTCCGAATTTTTAGGAAAGCTTGAAAATAACCTGGACGCAACGGAAACAAATAAATTATGTAAATATGTGTGTGTGTATGTATGTTATGTACTCCATTTATAGTTCAAGTGTTGAAATACATACATAAATAGCTCGTGATGTGAAAAATGAGCAATAAAAAATTATGTCATCCAGTTTCGTTGATAACATTCTACACATTTAAACCTAAAAACGGAAGCACGGATTATATTATAATCACTATACCAAAAAAATTCTTAATAAAAGCTATTAATGGAATATATTCAAAGAAAATATAAAAGCAAAATGTACATACAAATATAATAATTATATATACATATGCACGAGTATGTAACAATACGCCACGTGCAAAGCAAAGGTCACATGAAAGGAATCTTTGGATTTGATTAATTTTTGGTGGAGCTTGTGAGGCATTCTTATTGACATGTGTGCGAGTGTGTGTGCCCAAATATTAGAATTACATTAAATATTTTTCTTTTATCAGTTATTTACGTCAGCGCTGTCTCTGGTCTGATTAGGCTAACTTGTCTGCATGTCAAAATTCCAGACTAATTGTTAAGAATTTTTAACTGAATTTACATACATGTATGTACATACATACATGTATACAATAAGTGTATATGGGACTTAGGCTTGCTCTTTTTCTGTCCCCATCGTTTTTTTTTTGCATTCCAAATAGGTGATTCGTTGGTTCATCCCAAAGAAGACGGAGATGAAAAACAGATAACCCTATTTCCCTTATGCAGGTTTCTTGCAAATACCAAGCGGAAAACAAGCTAGCGCGTGAGAGTAATTTTGAAGAATTTCTACAAAAGAACTCACCCATATCTGGATGATATTTGTAAATAAATACACAAGTGTATTTCACATATCTTCCGAAGACCATCCCAGCAAGATCACAATAAGGGATGAGGTTGCGTGTGTACATATAAAAATACTCGACATTATTGAAATATCATCCAACGCCAACTGCAGCGGCAACTTAAACAAAAGGAAGAAAAAATTTGTGAAAACAAAAATAATAAGGAAATTATTCAAATATAAGCATATTAGACAAGTAAAAAATATATAAATTGCGTAATACAAGTGCCAGAAATGCTTTAAATGTTGAAAAGGCATATTTTTAGAAATGTATTACTTGAACTTGAAGACGATCTTCAAGTTTAAAATCGCCAAGCATTACCTTTAGCGAGCAAAGGCAAGACTAGAACACTTGATGAGGTTTTCCGAGGTAAAAACTATGGCGTGTGACCTGTAGGGCATTTCTCTATCGTATTATAACGATTATCGGATATAATGACTTAACGATAATTTTAACGATTTTGATATTCTCTAAGCACAGTGTAACGATTTTCGCATCGCAAAGAATACTTAGCGATAATTCTAACGATTTTAATATTCGGTGTACTTGTTATAACGATATTCGCTCTCGCTGTTGTCGTAAACTACTCGAAAAATCGTTAACTAAGCGACGAATATTTTTAAGTTGTTAGCGATATCGACAAAATTTTGTTATTTCATATAAGAGGGTAAAGTGTCCGTAAAATAATAAAATAAATGGCTTTTGAATATTTGGCATACGATTTATCACAAGATGAAGAGGTATCCTACCCTACATCATTGGATAGAAGTTTGCATCGAGAAGCGGAAGATCCTTTTCATTTGGATGCTACCGAGTTTCGGCAGCTATATGGAAATCGTTTCTCAACTAGATTGTCAACTAAAAGAAAGAAGAATAACAGCATTGTCTACGGAGAAACAGGTAATAATATATTTTTTTCAATATTTTTTTAGTCTTAACACTATTCAAATTTTTAAAGGTTCTAACCGCCTTGCGATTTTTTTTGCAACTGGATGCAGTCAACGTCCCGGCGGAGAGCAATGGGGGATATCCATGAGTCAGTCATCGGTAAGCCCGTGCATTCATCGCGTAACAGACGCAATCAACCGTTCGATGCTTTCGGCGAAGGTAGCTCGGTTTCTTTTTGTCGTAGCCATTCTACAATACAATTATACTCACAATAAGGCGTGTCTAATAATACAAAAACTAATAAACGTTTCATTTTACTTACATTTTCCAAAAATATATTCAAAAGCCAGCGGAAAAATTTGTACTTACTAATTTGGAATAACGAATTTATATGTTTGAGTTTTTCGTACATTTTGACGTTTCGATAAGCTGTGGTGCCAACTTTCCTACATTTTAATAAAATGGAAATGTGCGATGTCGATTATCGCATAATCGTTAGCGCAAGCGACAAAATTCGTAACTTTGCGATCCGACAAATCGTGTCGATAAAAGTTACAGAATTGCACTACTGATATTTCAATTTTATTTGGATGGTAAAAAGCGTGCTTTAATTAAGCTTAAACAATAACTTAGATAAAAGTAATATATATGTATATATATTGGTTTTTAATTTTTCCAGCCGTTTTCTTGGAAGAAGATGATGTCGATGATTAAAAGAGTTGAACTTATATTGTAATCGATATCACAAAAAAAATTTTATTAATTAAAAATATAAACAATAATAAAAAAATGTATATACGCACTATATATATTCAATATTGTTATTTAAATATTTTATCTTGTTTTATATTTCATCATAAATGATACATCAGGTACATATATGCCAATGAATAGTGTTAATGTAAATCTATTTCGAACAAATTTTTACAGTGCATTTTCGTAACTTCTTTGTATTCCACCGTTTTCAAAACGGATATACATACATAATGTGAATTATTATTATTAATAAAAATTTATTTTCAATTGAAATTTAAAATGAATATAGAAGTCGATAATTCATATTAGCTATTTAATTAAAAATAAAACATATTTTGATATTTCATTTTTATCAGTTCTGACATTGTTTGTCACTAATGCTTTATTTGAATGTTTATATTTATAAAGCATTTCAAAGTTCTTTTTTCAGTTCTTATATAAATCCACACAGACTTGCTTATATAAGAACTTATTTCAGAAATTTTATAAACACTTCAAAAAACCCCTAATATAAATTCTTTATTTAAATGCTAACACATGCCTCATTGAAAATGGATATGAGTCGAATAGGAGTAATGTATGTATATACAATTATTCCCTGCGAAAGAGTGAGTAAAAACCTCACACCTACAGGCTATACTTACTACTTAGTCATATGGCTTATAAAAGGGTTTGTAAATATAAGTCATACTGTTCCTGCTGGGATAGAAATATTTATTCCAACTGAACTGATTTTATGTTTGGTAAAAGATTTTACTGTTGCTATTCTTGACATTAGCAAAAGTTGGCCCATTTTTCGTCGAACATTAATCCATATCGATTTTCCCTAAATAGGCTTTGATGATTTCCTAAATTCTTAGAGTTTTATTACGGGATTGTGAAAATTATACACAAGGATCTATTTTGCAAGCTTAACACGGCTATTTTTACTTTACACCAATGTTGTCACCAGCAGGTTCAATATGAAACTGCCTTCTGTTGTGCTGGCCGCTTCTTTATATACCTCACCGATTTCTCGTACTCAGCTTCCTTTTCCTTCGAGCTTAGAAGGCCTTCCCTTATATCTTGTTCCACTTGCAAGCTCTTTTTTCTAATGAGCTCATGGCAATTATCAAATTCGGAAAAAGTCTAATCAACAAAATACTGATAAAGAATACTCTTAACACTGATTATGTTGTGCGAATCAAGTTGTAAATATGCAAACTATTGTAATCTTAGAATCTAAGTAATTACAACGAATTAG